TCTGTCTGTCTGTGTGTCTGTCTGTCTCTCTGTCTCTCTCTCTCTGTAGGAAGAGGAAGATGGAGGATAAAAAGAAGTGTGGAAGTGCTGTCTCCCTCTCCCTCTCTCTCTCTGTCACTCCCTTATGATGATATTGACTGGTGAAAGGCAGAGCCTTGAGCCGCTAATGCACTGCAGATGTCTTGAACAAGAAGGTTGGCTATGGCATGCTGACAGGCAATATGTTTTTCGTTCCTTTTTTTTCCCCGTGACAATTAAATTTCAATTGTTAAAACTTGAAAGTTAAAACCCATGATTTCTCATTTTCATCAGCATGGTTTGGTTGGTTTGTTGCTTGGTTGCGCAGATTCGCGTGTTTCTTGAACCTTTGACGGCATACATCAGAGTCGAAGACAATGGTATGTTACACAGAATTCGAAACCTTGCAAATGTTTAAAACTCAAATGAAAAAAGAACGGTGGTGGTGTGTTACATGGGAGTTGAAACCTTGGAAATGATTAAATTTGGAAAGTTAATATTTATATTGACAACAAAGAAATGATGGTAAGCTACTGCCTATTTGAAACAGTGGAAAGGTGTAAAAGGTTACGAGTAAAAAAAGAGATGATGGCGTGTTACATGGGTTTTGAAACCTTGGAAATATTCAAATTTAAACAGAAAAAGAAAACGATGATGGTGTAATGAGCCCAAGCATCATGCATCAACCAACATCACAAATCTTAGTCTGAGTTGCACACACACACAGCCAAGCACAAGGAGAGATGGAAACCAAAGCCGCGAGATGCGGAAACTTGAGTTATCTTGTGAACACCTTCCCCGAGACCACTTCTCCAACGACTGAGTCCTATCGTCTTCCAGTCCAAACCAGTTTGTGTACAACTGGCAGGGTGGCTATGGGTGCCAGCCCAACCTGACAAGAAACTGAGCACTCTCTGACTTCAACCCTCAGGCCTCTCTCTCTCTCCGAATGTCTGCTTACTATACAACTACGGCTATGGCACCCACCGCCTGGAGACGACAATCACTCTCAACCTCACATCATCCATCTCACTTGCCACTTGGTCTCACTACATCGCAGCAGTGCTTCCACAGCGAACATGAGTGAAAAATGAATGTTCATGGCTACTGCTGCTGTGCTTTTGTATGTGACGATTCAGCCTCCCAGCCCTTGTAGCTGGAGACTCGGTAGGCTCGGCAGCCTGCCGGCTTGGATCTATCGGCCTTTGACTGCAACGTTCCTGACCTTCCCGTGACCGTGGGCTGTTGACTTACCTGAGACTGGACAGAACTGGACTGGACCGGGCTTGGCCTATTTTCCCACCGGACCCTAAACTTTCAGAATTTCTGCCTGGAACTGGATTGACCAAGTACCGGACCCATCGTTTGTTGCATTGTACATTGGAGGTTCCTTGCATTCCCGCCAGGCTGAGCCCGGTTTCAAAGTCCACCTACTATTCTGATTCCAAACCACCGCTATCTCTGAGCCTCTTTTTGCTGAGGTGGA